AAAGGTAACTACGGGGAGCGGGTCGGGGCTGGAGCGCCCGTCTATATGGCGGCCGTGCTGGAGTACCTGACGGCCGAGATCCTGGAGCTGGCGGGCAACGCGGCCCGCGACAACAAGAAGACGCGCATCATCCCGCGCCACCTGCAGCTGGCCATCCGCAACGACGAGGAGCTCAACAAGCTGCTGGGCAAGGTGACCATCGCGCAGGGTGGGGTGCTGCCCAACATCCAGGCCGTGCTGCTCCCCAAGAAGACTGACAGCCACAAGGCTAAGGCCAAGTGAACACTATATAAGACTAATCTGGTGACAAAAGAAAAAAAAGGCTCTTTTCAGAGCCACCCACAAAGGTCAGAAAGAGTTGAGTCGCTCTGTGATTTTGTTTCTTCTTGTAAATGCAGGCAGAAACGTGTACTTTTTTTTTTAAAGCAAAGTGTTTGCTTTAGCTGTGCTGTTCTCTGTTCTTGCCTGCCCCACAATTTTTCTTGTGGGTAGGCTGTTTTATCAATTTTAGATGTTACTTTTTAAAATACTTAAGTCAGTCCACTTTGAGATTCAAATTAGTTGCTTGTTTAAAGTTGTTCTGTTAATAAAAGATGTTTATGCTGTGAGAAAGGCTATATGCTTTTAATGCTTCAGTAGTGGCAACTGCATTTTTGAAATGAATTGGAGTAGACCCTGCCTCCTTGTAAGAGAATTCTGGGTTTGTATAAGTGCTTCATGTACTGTTTAGCAGAGGGTGATATAAACTGAGGACTTTGTATCAGTCTAAGTTATTTCTGTCCTGTTAAAGAGTAACAAAGTGTAGCTGAAAGCTGTTGTAAGTCTGGGTGAGGTGCACTTTTCAAACTTGGGTTGGAGGAGTGGGTAAAAAAAGACAAAGCACACAAAAATAAAACCCTAAAGAAAGCATGTGGTCCCAGTAGTGACCCTGAACTGATGCTTTTGTAACAGGAGGGGTGCTTCCCTGTCTCAAGTTCCTTGTTGATTTCCATTTTTGTTGCATTTTAACTCTATTCTGTAAGAGCACCTCGCTGGCTTTCCTTGTCTGGTTTAGCTCTGTATGGTACTGGGGAAGGCTTTTAAGCAGGACAGTGCTACCAGTGTTCCCAGTGAGCTGCCTGATGTGATGTCCCAACCATGGTGATAATCACTGTGTTACACTAGAAAAGAGCACTGCTGCTTTTAATTTCATTTTTCTGTTGCTGGCTGGATCTGCCCCCCCTTTCTCTGTGAGCTATGGGGAGTTTCGCGCTCCCTCCTTATTTTGGGAGAAGGCGAGGGGTTCTTAGAGCTGCTGCTGTTCCATGGTATTGCCTTGAAATCATTTTTCTGCTTCTGTTCTGCCCTGCTTCCACTTTCCTTCCAGCTTTAGTGGGGCTCCTTGCTACTTTTTTAGCCTCACATTCTTGTGTGGAGGACAACAGACAGCTTCTTGATTTCCTGGGGCTCTTTGTGTTCTATGGAGGTGCAGATGGCCTTGGTCATCAGCTCAGTGGTACTGGAGTAACAGGAGAAGCTTTGAACAAGACCACAGTTTTCCCCATCTTTTTTCTCTAGTATAGAGGAGAGAGAGATGTGGGCTAACGTATTTGTGGACCTGGGGTTCGTTGAGTAGCTTTCCTGAAACTGAGTTGGTGAGAAGTTTTCTCATCTGTAGGGGAGGGAAGTCTCCACTCTCCTCTGTGTTTCTTCTGTGTAATGAAACTGTCATCTGTGTATTGGAACCACTGAGTATTGTAGAAAACATGGGGAAGGGTTTTGTGAACCCCCTGGGTACATGTACATCATCTCGATGTTGTGTGAGAGGATTTAAATTTTGGTTTCTAGGCTGTAAAAATCTTCAAGAGGGTAATCTTTTGGATTTCTTTCCCTTATAAATGAATGTTCTGGTATCTAAAGTGCAAATGCATTAGTATGGATGATACAGTATTCATTATTCTTGTAGTTCTTACTCTTGATTGCCTGTTGCAGAATGTGTTTAGGCACTATATAGCTCTAGTCACAAATCATGTATCTAAGAAGTAAAGCCTTAAACCCAATAGGGCTACATGAGGTAGCCCTGTGAAGGGCTACAAGGCCTCAAACATTTTGTTCAGCCAGACAGTTTCACGAAGATGCCTCATACATGTGGTTTACCAAAACTGGTGTTACTGGGCAGATTGGTTTCAAAAGTACATGTGTGTCTTACCAAGGTGAGTGTGGGTAATGGAGCATGCAGTGCCCACCAGGACCTCTCATTTCTCTAGCGCCAATGCAACCCTCTGGGTTTGTCAGTCCGGCAGTGGCAAGCGGTGGTTTTCCTGCTTCCCAAGCCGATGCCAGGGGTGGAGGTTTAAAGACTCAGCCAGCTCCAGGGGAGCGGGAAGCTGGGGTCTGTTGCTGGTGAGCAGAAGGGGGGAGTGCGATGTAACACGGGGCGACTCCAGAAAAGAAGCAGGGAGGGAGGTGGGCCGGGCTGGGTGGAGGAGGAGGGCACGGAGGAGATGGGGATGTTGCAGGGGTTGGAGGAGGAGGGGGCCGCGCTGCCAGAGGTGCCTGAAAACAGCGGGGAGAAGAGGAGAAAAAAAAAAAAAGGGGTGAGA